GTTATATTTGGTCATTTGACAATATATGCAGACTTAGTTTATTTGTGGGAGTATTATTTTAATTTTCATTCTATTAGTTATGAATTCTGTTACTGTTTAGATAAAGTTGATTATGAATGTTAAAATTGTGGATTTTGAATAAAAAATAGAACATTTGATATTGTCAACTGATATATTTTTTCAGATGTTTGAATTATTATGTTTCAATAGTTATAACATAATTTTCGTGGAGTAACAATTTAATGTGAAAATATATATAGTATGCATGTAGGTTGATGTTATAAAAAATATTAGCGGACTCATTTTGTTCGTCGTTTACTACAATATTGTATTTTATTTTACATTTATGTATGTCAAATATTTGTAACTAATTTACGAGTAACACTATGCCTTCAGGTACATACAATTGCTAATTATTTAACATGATATTATAACATAAGGTCATGTATTTGAATTTTATCATCATCTTAATTATTAAAATGATTTTTACGCTCCATCTTTATGAAATGATAAAATAGTTGAAGACCTCACTCCCGAAGAGTTTAAAGACTTATCGTTCAAAATGAGTCATATATGGTAATGATGAATTTCGATTTGGGCTGCCCATTTGGAGCCCACAACACTTAATAGGGCCCCTTGGTCACATGACAGCCTAAATGACCAATTCGTAGCATGCCACCTTGTCATAAAAATGGGCCATAATCAAAGGAATGAAGTCTAATGACGTCCAAAACAGTATATGCCTACTTCGTCACATCAAGCTCGACGGAGTAGACCAGTCCGGGAGCTAGGAGTTCGATACGTAGTAGATCCTAAGCATCTCTCATCGTGCCACGTGTCCAAGGGACAACTTCTGGAGCCTTTAACAAATATGCACTCCATGGTAAATGCAATATTTGTACGTACACCATTTTAAGGATTATAGATACAACATGCGTCAGAATGACAGATACCACTACAGGACAAAGGAAGATGTAACCACATAATCAATCAAGAAAATGAAGGAATCGCAAAAAATCCTAAATGACCACATATATAAATAGAATACAGATGCATTGTATAAATGAGAGTTAAAAAAAGAAAACATATTCACAATATACTATGTACGAAGGCTCTAAGCCAAGAAAAAATCTTATGTAATCTTCTTCTTCAAGCAACATAAACTCTAAGGAATAAGAGTCTCAATTACAATAGATGTAACCTTAGTCCTTTGGCTAGAGTGAACCACTTACATCTTATTTTCAATCCAACATCACCAGCTTACTTCCTTATTAACCCAAATATTCACACGCTCCCATTGGATCTTGCACAATCATTGTTCTGCACTTGGACTTAGTAATTTCAAGCACCATCAATATCCATCGAAAATGGAAAGCAAATATCCTATGCCAATAAATAGGGCACAATCGAGGTACGCAACACTCATTCTATAGCCACACCTAATTTCTCTTCAAAATATTAATTTAAGTATCGGAGGAACAACACCCGCAACTCCCTCTCCAATCTCTGACTTTTTTTTTTCATTAGTGAAGCTCCGACAAATTGACATAGAAGTTGTTACAACTTTTATATCAACAATTATCAGTTTTTTTGTATTTAAGAAATTGTGTCAATTCATATTGCTTGAAAGAATTGTCCCATTTTGTGAAAGAGAGTGGTTGCTTGTTGCCTTCCCATATTGTGATGATGACGTTTTTTTGTTTTATTGAGATGAATTGCTGCAATGTTTAAATTGGAAAAAAAAAATATATGGTGGGGTGGGTCAAAGACAACCAATCTTATTGGAGAACAAGAATAATTTCGATGGTGAAAGTGAACCTTTTAAAAGCTGTTGGACCGAATTTTTGTACTGTTTATAATGACGAAAATGCAATATGATAGGCCAAAATCAAATTTGCTAGAAAGTAAAGTTAGTCTTACGCTCTCGGATTATTTCACAATATACCTATTTGGAGTTGACTTTTTTGGGTATAAAATAGTGACTTGAAAAGTGAAATAAAAAAATCATAATTAAAAAAAATTATTGAAACCGTTTGAAGTATTTTTAAAAAAATTATTTTTTTTTTGTACGTGAGAAATAAATGGACTAAACTTCTTTTGCCCTAAAATAAAAAAAAAAAATGAAGTTTTAAGCCAACTCCAAATAAGACAATTATTATAATTTTTCAATCAAATAATTACATGAAGCAAAAAATTTTAAAAATTCAATAGTACTTTGACAATAACGTTTTTAATTCGGTTATTAGAATAAAACTTTTTTAATTGGGTATTAATATAGGAGAAGACGAAGATTTACGTTGTTGATTCCTTGTGTTTTGGTACAAAGATGAGTTTTTTCACAATAAAAAAATGAATCCACATTAATGATTAGATCCACAACTGAAGCATACAACCAACTTATTCCAATGGAATGATCTTGGTCATTTTTCCTTTTATTTTTTTGGTTTTTTGGTTTTTTTTTGTTAATGTTACTTTACGCCCTAAAGATACTAAATTTTTTTAAATTGCACTCTGAAAGTTAAACTTTTCTACATTGACCATTCAATTGTGTGAAATTGTTTCAATGTGATCCACTGCCAAACATCCATTGATATTTCCTTATGTTTTAAGCTCATGTGACAAGCACATGCAATATTAAGGTGTTAGTATGTAAAATGCCAAACAATTTTTGGTGAGTAAATAGTGTGCACAAGCACAACACACTCCTTTTCATTTACAGATCCAAACTAAAAATAGGAAGAAAGAAAAGAGAAAAAAGAGAAAAGAAGAGGAAGGGAAAGACGGAGGGGTATTACAAATTGCAAATGAAGACATCATGGACACTTTAAACCCTAAGAGGAGGTTTATCACATATTTTAATCGTGAGATTAAATCTCTCCAGTTTTTTACTTTGTTTTGATTGAATAATGTTTAGAAAATTTTGGGAAAAATCTTATCTAGTTATAAGCAATTAGTTTTGCAGTAGTAGTTGTAAAATATTCTATCCGTTCTTAAATATTTGTTGTTTAAGGTTTTTGTACCGGAATTAAGAAAACTATTAAATAGTTCTAGTATGAGTAAAAATAATTGCACAAGACTAAAATACCCTTATTCAATACGTATTGGGAAGGAAAAAAATATGAAGGACACTTAGCCTACACTTAATTTATTAAGCTCTTATTAGAAAACAGAGATAAAGGTAAATTTCGAAGAAAAAATATTAATTATGCTTTGATTTCATAAAATGACAGATATTGTAGAATAAAAAAAATTGAGTAAAACGAGAGATATTTAGGAACAGAGGGAGTAATTAGAGAAGACAAACACCGATCCACAAAATCATTCCTGCATTAGTTGTTGTAAATTTAGTTATAGATTTTGCAAAAAATTCTTTGCATATTAANGTAAAACGAGAGATATTTAGGAACAGAGGGAGTAATTAGAGAAGACAAACACCGATCCACAAAATCATTCGTGCATTAGTTGTTGTAAATTTAGTTATAGATTTTGCAAAAAATTCTTTGCATATTAATCATTCAAGCTTGCACGTGCTCATCACGTGAGTTTAAAACAGACGGAGATATATCTGGCCGTGGACCGCATTGAAACAATTTCACATGATTGAGGGTATAATGTAGGAAAGTTTAAATTTTAGGGTATAAATTGGAAAATTTAGTATTTTTAGGGTTCAAAGTGGAATTACCTAAATATAAAAAAGGAGTAGGCTCTCTTGGACCAACTCGCTGGTTCTAACTACCAACTGGTCCTTTGCTGACAGTTTGACCGGCCGTTGTTCAAGCGCCAAAAACACAACACCAGCGCAACAGCAGTCCCCACCACCGTCTTCAAAAACACTTTTAGATTCTGTAGGACCGATTATATAGCGCCACTGATCGTTTTCCCGCCCCAGAAAATACAGTAAAACCCTAGTTCGTACGCTACCTATTCGTGATCAAATCCAGAAACAAAGCATACCTTTGTTTTTGTCTTTGTATTTGTATATGCTTCCGCAAAGATAAGAGACGAAGGTGTTTCGCATAGGACTGTTGGGTTTTAGCAACAGAATCAATCATCAAATCGTTGATTCTTCAGCTAAAACCACCGATTATATACGTTAAATTCCCTTTTTTTTTGTCCGTTGGATCACTTAAAACCAGGACCAGGTCTGTTTTCCCCCACTCCACTGATCTGGGTTTATTTGTGTTCTGATTGATTTTGATGGTGTTTAATTAATCTGAGTAGTTTGATTTGTAATTTTTTTATTTGGGTTTAGGGTTTCTGGTATTGTGTTTTTGTTTTTTTATACGTTTGAACTTTTGGGATACTTTGAATTTATGCACTAGATTGAAAAGTTGAATGAGATTTTGGAAAATTATCGAAATTGTAAAATGACTAATACTGGGATTTGATAGCTTCTTGGAATTGCTCCATGACTTGTCTCAGGTTGTTGAAGTCAATTATACTATTTACGTTCTCCAATTTCAGGAGCAGATTTTTTTTTAAAGCTAAAGAATGTGTTTTTTTGGTGAATTTCATATGAACACATACAGAAGTCTTGAAATATAAGAGAGAAAATAAGAGAGATCAAGGCAGAGATGGAGAGAAACATTTAGGTTTGGAGATCTTTGTTATGGAGGTTGAAGAGGATAAGGGCTTGTTGGAAGAGGGCACAAGACTTGTGGGGAAATTTCAACTTCATTTTAAAATTAAAAGTAGAGCTAACTTTCTTAAAAGAAATTAGATTATGGGTGTATGGATTTGCAATTGTAGATAATTTCATGTGATAGTGAAATCGATCCATATAAGAGTTCAAAAGATCCATATAAGAGTTCAAAAGTGAATGCAACCGAAAATTACATACCAATTAAATATATCCCCATTGCACTATGTATAAGAGAAAATGTTGTTCCTAGTACCAAGTATCCTTTCTTTTACCAGGTAACAAATTGACCCACTAGCCTGGTGACATTGGTTATGTGCAGCGTAGTCGATGAAATACAATTCACCATGGTAATCATATCATGTTTGAAGGTTAGTGAACATGTGTCGTTAGCACTTTTCATCTCAAATTAGTGGGTTGGATGCTCATAGGTCAAGGGGGATTCACACTCAGCTTAACATCTCTAGAAACTTTACCATAATTGAATTTTAGGAGTTATAACGCCTTATAATAATTGTAGGATCTTGTTTAAGAGTATGCTTACTAATTTTTCTAAGTTTGACTTATAAAACTTATTATGCTCTTAGATTTGCATTTCAATGCTCAGATCTTGAGATTTGGCTTAGTTGGCTTGACTAGTCATGGCTTTTTCATGCCTTGTTCAATCTTTGGAAAACACAATTTGTTCAGAAATTCAAGTTCCAAAAGAAACCAATGCTTATTTTTAGATGTCATACATAAATCTCAATTCATTCAAGGTACAGTCCATTGCAACGTGTTAGTACAAAATACATTTGTGAAACTTTGTGTATTTAAATTGAGCTTTTGGATTTGCTTATTTTTAGATGTCATACATAAATCTCAATTCATTCAAGGTACAGTCCATTGCAACGCGTTAGTACAAAATACATTTGTGAAACTTTGTGTATTTAAATTGAGCTTTTGGATTTTACTTTCTTTGATGTCCATAAGCTTTTATGAATCTATTCGAATCAAATGGCCAAAAACCAAAAAGTGGAAAAGTGAAGCTTCAAAATGGGTTCTTCAGTTAGAAAATGCAGGCGTACTTGCACCCTACATTTCACATTTGAGGCTTTTCATCAGGGAAATGTGACCATCTAGCAGGGGATGTCTCATGTTCTGAGGCTGGTCAAATCTAGATAACGCTACACATGCATCTTATCGCTATGTGGACTAGTTGATCGAGGAATAATTGCAATCTGTCTTTCTACAAGCACATATATATATGCATAAATCAGTGTACTCGTACCATGATGCAAAACTCTTAATTTTCTATAATATCCTATTGCAAACATCTTCTTGTGGGGTTCGAACTTGATTTAGATTATTGATTTTCCCATTTTGAATAAAAAGAAATAAAATTTCCAATAAGCTTTTGGAAACAATGCTACATCCTTCCTTGGCGTGTTTCCCTCTCTCTCTCTCTCTCTCCGTCCCCCCTTCTCTGAGTTGATGGTGTTGTAGCCAGTGTACAAAAAAAAAAAAAAAAAATCTCAGAAGGCAAAAAATAAAAGTAAGATGAATGGATGCTATAATTTCCTATCCTTCCTTCTACATTTATGCTTTAAAAATGCATCTAACTTCAGCATAACTGAGTGTTTTTCTTGTGCTTGGTACAGTTGGGTAGCTGGTTTTTCTTCAACGGATATTGCTGTATTGGGTTACCTTTGTGTTCCAGATGATTGTTTCGGCCCTTCTGACGTCTGTCTTAATAAATCTTAGCCTTTGTATTTTGTTCTTTGTATTGTATTCAGTCTTGAGGAAACAACCAGGTAATTTTGAAGTTTATGCTCCACGCGAGTTGGCTAATGAGAAGTCTCGACGGAGTCGTAATTTCAACCTAGAAAGACTATTGCCTTCTTCTGACTGGGTGAGGAGCGCATGGCAGCCTTCTGAAGAGGAATTACTGTCATCTTCAGGTTTGGACGCTGTGGTGTTCATGCGGATTTTCATCTTCAGGTAAATTAGGTCTGTCCTGGAATTATTTATTTCCTGAGTAATAAAAAACTTTAGATTGTTGGTTGATTCGTTGAACCATTTTTTTTTTGGTGACCCGTGACAGTAGATTTTATTGTTTTAGACTGGGTTGAGTTGAGACTGCTTTAAGGTACTACTTCATTTTCTGTTATTTATTTGCTTGTTCTTGTCCCTATGACAAATCCCATCTTAACTAACTACCATAGAGTGCCACTAAGGAAAAGGAATATTTATAAAAATACAACTCAAAACTGATTGCGTATGAGTGGAGAGGCCCAGTGGTTAAAATTACTAGCTTGGGAGTTATTTTTTTTATTGATGCGGGATAAGCTCTAATGCTCCTCACATGTGCTGTCCCTAATACGTAAGTGGAGAGGTGGCAAAAGATCCGGAAGACATAAATCCGAATATGACAAGTTGTACTTATGACAGCCAATGTTTCAGAATCAATTAATATGAAATTGAGTGTTGCACAAAATCCTCATAAGCCCAGCTATTGGAGTCTTGGAGAGTATATAACATAAATGTTTATATACTTCAAGATATCCTCTCACATCCGTGCCCCATTTTGGGCCAAGTGTGTTCAAGTCTTAAAATCATTAGGGTGGTCGTGAGATTTAAACTCCCTGCTCTGATACCTTGTTAAGGCATTCAATTGAAAACCATTTGGTATTAATGGAGAGGCTCACATTAGATTGGGAGGGTTTATTTTATTGGTGTTGGACTAGACCTAATAAATACACCAAGCATTATAATATCCTAACAATGTAAGTGCTGCAGCAGTGTTGTTATTTAGATATCCAGAATTTCATACTAGCCAATTTGGGTGCATAGCAGAGTATGTACTTATCTAATGCACATACCCCACACTTTGCATGTTGCTTTGTGCTCACAATCCACAAACATTATACATTAGTAATTGGGACAGAGTTGGGGAGATAGATTTAATATTAGGTATTTCCTGCACTGTTGACCTTCCCTAGTGGAGGTCATGGTATAAACCTTATTGTGGATATAGTACTGCATTGGAACCTTCGTTATGTATAATTGGTAACAGTGACGTGCGCACATGCCTCCCTTTTAAGGTTTTTCATTGTTCATACCTTTTCCATTTGCATCATCCTATAGTCTGTTGTTGTTACTCCTGTTGCTGCTCTTTCTGTTCTATATTCAATGTCTGAGATTGGTATTTTCAGTTATACATTTCGTTCTTAATTTTCACCTTGTGGCAAGCTCATGTTTCTTCTTCTCTAATTTTGCAGTTTCAGAGTTTTTACTGTTGCTGGTATTATTGGGCTCTTCGTTATTCTTCCAGTGAACTTCTCGGGTGATCAGCTTGAGGATTTTGACTTTTCTAATTTTACAAATAACTCTTTGGACTTATGTAGCATTTCAAATGTAAAAAACGGCTCACAAAGGTGACTACATCATTATCTATCTATCAAGAGTGAGTGATAATTGGTTCGTCTTTGATTTTAATAAAGCAGCAGATTAGTGATTTATTACTACTGCTAGCCACTTGGTTGTAAAGTGTTTGAGAAGCACATGGTGATATAATCGAGTTTGCGGTGGGCCTCACTTCCCATGTCCCCAGAACTCCTACATGACTGGGTGCTTTGTCACCTTTATAAACTAAGCGCCCAAATGCACGCTGTGGATGTTGCATGGGTGGTTGAACACTGTAATTTTTCTTTGTACTTTTGTACCAAAGTTTTTTAAGAAGAAACACTTACTATGGAAGTTTTGGTCTTTGTGGCAGGTTATGGGTTCACTTCTCTGCTGTATATATAATCACCATCTTTGTCTGTTCTCTCCTTTATCATGTAAGTCATTTTTATTTTTAAAGTTTGTTGCTCATACCACCTTACATTTTTACCTGATAATTAAGGTTTTTCCCAATCGCTGTGCCATTTTCACTGGATTCGACTTCTTCCGAACCTCAGTACCATTACTCTGGGAATACTTCATGACATGATTGATTTGCGATATTCATGTTTAGGTGGCAGATTTAAAACTTACTTCTGTAATTAAGAGTAAGGAAGCTATTATTGGAGCTTATAGGCTTAGTGTTAAAGGTCATTATGTTCTCTGTTGTCTGTATGTTATTCTCGAGATGTTTTAATGAAGGCATTCATGGAGATATGAGCTATAGAAAAGATGACCCGATTCTTAAAAAGTGTTCAATTCTGCAGGAATATAAATATATATCTTCAAAAAGGATTGCCTATTTCTATTCTTCCAGACCTCAGCCACATCAATTTACTATATTGGTTCGTAGCATCCCAATTTCTGTTGGGGACAGTGTCAGTGATAGTGTTGACAGATTTTTCACGGAGTATCATCCTTCTACATATCTTTCGCATGTTGTGGTTCGTAGAACAAACAAACTTCGATATCTCATTGTAAGATATTTCCTTCTTTCCATCTTTTCTGATTTTCTTATTCTTTTTGGTATTGCAACTGGCTCCATCATCAATTAATTTTTCTTTTTCAAATGAATGAAACTGTTGATTTTTTTTTCTTTTTGAAATTTCATGTTTGGATTTATAAAATACATCAAAGAATGATGGATACCTTTTTTGCATATTTGTTGCATTTGACATGTTCAAGACATGTAGCTGATAAATTTTCTTTCTTTTTGTTCTAGTTTTATATTTACTATTTTGAAGCTAACCCTAAATAGTTGGGATAAAGACTTTGTTAAGTTGAGTATACTACTATTTGACATGGCATGGTAGTTAGATATGTCTTCACTTATGATTGGGCATCAGTAATGCCATACTTCGTGATGATTTGCTTCGAATTAGCAACATTTTGAGGAAAACATTTGGAATTATTAAATCTAACAAAAGCTTTTTCTTGTCATAATTGTTGATAATTTTCGGACCAGAAGGCATATTCAAGATATGGCAAGGGAATGAAAAATAGGAAAAAATTGTTTACTTTTTAGACTATTTTATAAAACAGTTTGGATTCAAGTTGCTGAATGTATTTGTGTTCTTGATGCATTAATGGTCAAGAACTATCTTGCAATGGAATTGAGTTTCCATTTTGATAAAAGCTTATCCCACATTAGTATAATTTATCTCCCAAACTAGTGTATGAGTTTTGTATCAAATATAATTTTTTTTCCCCAGTAAAACATTACAAAAACGGAATTAGGGTTTACCTTCGAGATCACTTTGGATTTATCTCATCTCAGCACAAACACAGAATCTAACAACAAACATAGAAGACGGCTCAATGAACCTCACGGTCTTATGTCGTATATCCTCCAACATCAAAATCCAAATGCAGTGTGGGCTGCAAAGACCTCCGAATTTTTGGTCTCTCTCTAAGTCTCCCTCAAATCGTGAGTAATCAAGATGATGCTGATTTAAANTCTCACGGTCTTATGTCGTATATCCTCCAACATCAAAATCCAAATGCAGTGTGGGCTGCAAAGACCTCCGAATTTCTGGTCTCTCTCTAAGTCTCCCTCAAATCGTGAGTAATCAAGATGATGCTGATTTAAAGAGCTTAGACGTCTATATATATAGGCTATACGATAGAAACACTAAGGAGAAATAAGGGTCGGTATTGGCGCAAAAAATTTGAATATTTTGCCGAACATTACTTCACTCACATAACAAAGAATTATACGAGTTTTATTAAATGTAAGTTAGACCCATTTCAGATAGTATATATCTGTTAATTATAATTTCTTACTTCAAGAAAACACCCTTTGATTCTAACGAGAAATTATCACACGTTACCATTTACATTACAAGGGCATTTTATTTGTGATGGTGACTGGATCTAGATTAATTGCCTAGGCTGTTCTACGTATTCGTTATCGGGATCAAGTCGATTCGTAGTTCGGAAATTTTTTTTTATTTAGGAATGCGACTTTGTTCTGGGTAGTTGCTGGATTGCCTACGTATCCAAAAATAGAATCAAGTCGAACGTAGTTTGGATTTTAGGAATTTAATTGAAGGTGATTTAGAATTTTGACTGTGCCCAGGGTAGTTGCTGGACTGCCTCCGTATCCAAAAATGGAATCAAGTCTGACGTAGTTCATGATAAGAGTTTTTGAAATTGGGATTCAATTGGAATTGTGACTGCGCCCAGAGGAGTTGCTGAGCTGCCTATGTATCCAAAAAATGGAATCAAGTCTGACGTAGTTCATGTTTTGGAATTTATTTGGAATGCGACTGTGGCCAGTGTAGATGCTGGTCTACCTACGTATCTACAAGTGGAATCAAGTCGGACGTAGACCAAAAAAAAAAAATGAATTTATTTGAAATTAATTTGAACTTGCGACTGTGCTTAGCTTAATTAGACTGCCTACGTATTCAAAAAGGAATCAAGTTGAACGTAATTCAGAGGTTTTGGAATTTATTCGGAATGCGACTGTGCCCAGTGTAGATGCTGGACTGTTTCCGTATCCACAAGTGGAATCAAGTCAGACGTAGTTCGAATATAAAATTTATTTGAAATTAATTTGGACTTGCGACTGTGTCTAGTTTAACTAGACTGCNACGTATCCACAAGTGGAATCAAGTCAGACGTAGTTTGAATTTAAAATTTATTTGAAATTAATTTGGACTTGCGACTGTGTCTAGTTTAACTAGACTGCCAACGTATCTGAAAAGAAATCAAGTCGAACGTACTTCGGAAGTTTTGGAATTTATTCGTAATGTGACTGTGCCTAGTTTAGATGTTGGATTGGTTACGTATCTACAAGTGGAATCAAGTCGGACATAGTTCGAAATAAGAATTTTGAATTTGAGTGGGTTTTTAAATGAGTGAATGACTCATTTAATTTGGTTTGGAATGGGTAAGTGATCCAAAATTTGATGTTCAATTTGATTTGGTTTGAAATAGGTGAATGACCCGTTATTCTTTGGAATGGATTTGAGTCGTATTTAAAACAACTTTAACTTATGTTAATTTTAGGATTCACAGAGGTTGTGACTTAAGATGGAATTAAATTCCATGTAAGATTATTGACTTTATGTGAGTTTAAAACTCAAAAATCTATTAAGAGTTCAAGACTCTTTTCATAAAGATTGTTGAGTTTTAAACCTCCCGAAAATTAGTAAAGAGTTAGAAACTCTTTAATATAATTTCTACACTATTTAATTTATAGAAATTTGAAGCTCCAAAAATAGTGAAGGATTTAAATGATCAAATTGTCACTTAAGAGGAGTCATAGACACTATGTCAATTTAGACGAGTTATAAACTCTTTTAAGTTAAATTTTCTTGTCCACTAACAAGTTTTTTTATGGGTTGTACCTTCTATAGGATTTGGCGAGAGAAGTTGCGAACCAAAATTAAAGAATCCAAGATTCTTAGCACCGAGCGAGCATGAATTTAGAACTCAAAAGTAGATTTGTTTGGGCGGCCATCTAGTAGTTACTAAAATATTTGGGGGAGTCAAAGGCTCCAGTTTTTTTTAGGAGTTAGAAACTCCAAGTCCTTTTTTAGAGATAGAAACTTCAGATTTTTTTTAGGAGTTAAAAACTCCATTAATTGATGACTTTAAAAAGGTTTGTAGCAAGTGTAATGTAACATTATTTTACTAACTGGAGAGTCTAAGACTCTATGTTGATTTTGCTAAGAATGAACCCAAGGCTCTCACACCATTTTTTTTAACAAGGCTTGATTTTTTTTTGACAACAAGTGCAAATTAATTTTTTTGCTGTATGCGCGCTAAACAATTACATGAAAATTTGATGGGTCTAAGAAAGAAATTGAAGGCTTCCGCTGGTGAGTTTTAAACTCCATAATTTGTAACTTAAGGCCAAAAGGGGAGTTGGAAACTCCCTTCGAAAGAACCAGTGGACTTGGGTATTTCAAAGAGTATAAAATTCTTGCATTTTTGTGCCCGGGAAAGCTTTAGGAGTTAGAAACTCCTTGACTTGACCATAGATATAATCTGAAAATTTTTGAAGAGCCAAAGGCTAATAAATTTTCTTAGGAGTTAGAAACTCCATGCTGCTTTAAAATGGTCTTTGAAAGATCAAAGCAAAATTTTTTCTTAAAATGGTCTTTGAAAGAACAAAACAGAATTTCTTCTTAAAATAGTTTTTGAAAGATCAAAACAGAATTTTTTTCTTAAAATGGCCTTTGAAAGACCTAAGCAGCAGATCAAAATTTCTTTTACAATGGTCTTTGAAAGACCAAAGTAGAATTTTTTTTAAAATGGTCTTTGAAAGACCAAAATAGAATTTTTTTCTTAAACTGGTCTTTGAAAGACTAAATCAGAATTTTTTTTAAAATGGTCTTTGAAAGACCAAAGCAGAATTTTTTTTACAGTGGTCTTTGATAGACCAAAGTAGAATTTTTTTAAAATGGTCTTTGAAAAATCAAAGCAGATTTTTTTTTAAAATAGTCTTTGAAAGACTTGAAGTTATTGCCATTTTTTTAAAGGGTTTGCTGCAATATTAAAAAGGTTAGTAACAAGCCATATGGGAGTTTAAAACTCCACTAAGCCAAAAACTCACAACCAATGACCAAAAATCTAATTCAAGATAATGTTGAGAAATTAGAAATTCCTCTAAATTACATACAAAGAGGGGACTTGTACTCTAGACCATGGTTTTGAAAGAGTCAGAGACTCTTGTGGATGGAATTTTTTGTTTTTGTGTAGGTGCATGGATTACACATCGGGGTTCTTTACCAATGCCATGGAACATCATCTTGTAAAACTTGAAAGACTCCAAGATGTGGCTATTTGTTTTCTGGGTATTGCAGCAAGAGTTGGAGGAGTTATAAACTCCTTTGGCCTTTCATTTGAAGAGAATTCTGCTGCCACTCTCTTTTTCTGGTTTCTTTTTCTTTCTTCTAACCATTAAGACTCTTGTTAGTTTGAAAAGATGGTGAAACTCCTGGTGATTTCTAAAAAAAAATCATATGAAACACTTGGTGGTAGTTGCGTCGCAATGCATCGAATGAGTTAAAACTTCTATCATCTGCAACTTTAGAGGATCGGTATCGCCAGAATTACTTTGGTTTGCTATGGTTTTTCACTGAGTTGTTGTTATCAAAAATTGTAAAGATTAAATCGACAAGGAAAAGTGTAAACAGATTTTTTGTTTACCTGTTGCAAAGCTTCAGAATTTTTTCCTTTGCCTTTCTTCCTTCTCCTCTCTCTGCCGAATTCTCTTTTGCTCACTATTTTTTTTTTCTTTTCTATTTATAAGGAACTTTTGCATGTGAAGGGGTATCTGGCAATATTTTAAGAACCCCCCACCAAGCCTATTTTCCCTTTCTTGTGGTGTAGTGGGGAGTTTTGGGACTGCCCAACTGTCAACACTCATCTTCAAATCCTTTTTTTTTGGCCACACCCACTTTGCCTTCTCTTGTAGGAAAACTGTCCTTAATTCTCGGCTCTCCCTTTTTTTTTAACAATATACAATTTTTAAAATTCATAAGGATGAATTTTAATTGGTCAAATTGAAATTTGAAATTTGACCATTGAGCTTGAAGGGTTAAGTTAACGATCAATAATTCAAAACAACCACGCGTAGAGCATGAACCCGTCATTGATCTTTGAATTTTTTTTTTTTTTGTCGTTTAACAGTCGAACTTCTAATGAGTGTAGGATTCTTATGTTTAACCTAGAACAAATATTTTACAGTCCATTAATAATAAGTTAATCCAGTAAAAACTTATTATTAATCTCTTGAGTCTTATCTCAAAATTATGTTTCGAGCTCATTATTATATGCTTAATAATCTTTTCACGTTTATAATTACAAATATCATCAATTAAATAAATTATTGATAATTATATTTAATTGATTTTTTTTATTCATTGAGATCTTACCANCAAGTTAACGATCAATAATTCAAAACAACCACGCGTAGAGCATGAACCCGTCATTGATATTTGAATTTTTTTTTTTTTGTCGTTTAACAGTCGAACTTCTAATGGGTGTAGGATTCTTATGTTCAACCTAGAACAAATATTTTACAGTCCATTAATAATAAGTTAATCCAGTAAAAACTTATTATTAATCTCTTGAGTTTTATCTCAAAATTATGTTTCGAGCTCATTATTATATGCTTAATAATCTTTTCACGTTTAAAATTACAAATATCATCAATTAAATAAATTATTGATAATTATATTTAATTGATTTTTTTTATTCATTGAGATCTTACCACTCAACTTATTTGTCATGTCGGATAATTAAATTCACCTGCAGAGTTTGATATAGACAAAACTTATGAGTTTCCTCATGAGAACATTATTAACCCATTTAAATATCAGGATTTGGTTTCCTTTAGTAATTAATTTCCACTATACAAATAGTGTCGTCTCCTAATTTACCGAGTTTATTGACTTAATATGAATCTCACTCTTTGGTAAATTAAAATGACAATCATTATATGCATGTGATAATTAAATATCTCAGGATTATAAATATAAGTAATCATAATAGTCATGAGGTATTTATTATTTTATTCAATCAGTAAAATATAATAACCTCAATATGAGTCTGTTCAATACACAAAATGTATTAGTGGAATAATCCGAAACATCAAACAGTCTCTTATAGCCAAGACAGATTATGTTAGAACATTATACTACAATCATATTGATGGTGTGTTCAATTTCATTAAAGATTGTGAACTTATTTTCATATTATACAAGGATTTGATAATCTGATCTTCTGTGCATAAGCCTAACTCTACACATCAGATTATCTACAATGTAAACTATAAGAAACATATGCATACCATACATTAAATATTAAATATAATGCAAATATTTTGCCCATATACATTCTCAATAAAATGAAAAAATCAAAGTTCTATTAATTAATAAAATGAGTTTCACTACAAAAAGTAAGCTTTTAGTATATAACCCTATCAATGCGAGTCTCTCCAATCACTGTCAATTGGTTTTAATATGGATGCACTAACATGGTATTAAAGTGAGGTATTGGACCAGACTCTTTATTCCAATCCCATTGATTTGATATGTGTCTCTCCCTTTGTTTGTGCATTTGATGCACTTTCTTTATGTGTCTCGCCCTTTCCTTTACTTTGTTGTGTTCACATTTCTGCACGTGATTAAAGGTTGCATGTGTAGGGTAGGGTTAGACTTTTAGAGCTTGTTCCACGTAAGAGTATTGATGCTCTCAAGGCTAGTATATGAGCCTTGCAAGTCTCTCCACTCATTAACAATTAGTTTTGAGTTGGATGCCTTACAAGTATACTTATACTGATTTTCAGACAAAATCACCTGGCCAAGGTGGAAATTGGGCATCTCTTGGAGATTGCCTGCTCATGTATGTTGAGTATGCTTGTGCCAGACGCATTTTGCTGCAAACCTGAAGTAGGCTACAATCCCTACCCATTTTTGACATTCCTTGTCAATAATTTGGTCTTCTGTTATGCACTCATCCAGTATGCGTCAAAGTGAAATGTTTGGGCTCTTGAATGCATTTTGGGGTGACCTCATTAGAAGAAGTATGTCATATATGGGTCTGGAAACTGCTTTATGGACTTGTCCTTTTCTTGTTCAGGCCATTTTTTCCTGTTAACCCTTTCTCTATGCAGGAAAAGGTGAAGAGCCTCATCCTTTTTGAATGCTTATGTAGTTTTGCCTAAAAATCAGCCACAAAAACTCTATAACAAGATGAGAAAGGAGTTATTCTTCTGTCTACATTAGCTGATTCACTCCTACAATTGGATATCTCAGATGTAGGCAACTGATTTTCTGGTGTTCCACCATAATTTTCTGCTCCTAAGAGTTTAATATCTTCTGATGGCTCTTTTTAACATCAAACGAAGAATTTGTGACACAGCCTGTGTCATCTGGATTGTGAAGTACAAAGCCAATGAGTCTAAAACTAGGAAGCAAGGATGTGGACACGGGTGCCGTATTCGATGCGATACAGATACGAGGATATAACAAAGTTCGAAAATATAGGACACGGATATGACTAATAAAATATATATATATATATATATATATATATATATATATATATATACTCTCTCTTATACACATATAGATGTGTATAAGAGAGNTATATTAGATAATAATAGAATTATAGTGTAGTAAAAATAAGTATATGTTATAACAATATTAATAATAAGATCTATCAAATATTAATTTTTTGATTAAAATAAAAATAAATTAACATCCATTATTTTTATCAAGTATCATTACATCCATTAACATTCATATTATATAAGCAACATAACCAAAAAAAAATAAATAAGGAATTCACACCCCTCTTAGTAGGTAACAATCATTTATATAAAAAAAAAAAATCTTAGCCGTGTCTTCGCTGTATCCTCTTGATCGTATTCTAGCCGTGGCCTAGTTGTGTTTGGTTGAGTTCACTATTCAGAACACTTTTAGTCATGTCCGACACGGACATGTGTTTGACACTCCCATGACACCCTTGGAGAATTATCCGTGCTTCCTAGGTCCAAAAACATGAGGTGTCGATGGTGCCTAAGTGCACGCTCAAATATATCAAAAAAAAACCTAGAAAAGCATTATGTGTTGTGGTCAGATGTTGGGAAGGTTTTCTCAGGCAAACTAATGGGCGGAAATCTATGTAAAGTTGTAAACCTCCTCAAATGGTGGAAGAATTCGTCTTCTATTCAGACTTTGTCAAATACTTTATGACATTCGAGAATCAGATTTTTGTGAAGTTATTACATGTGGACAAATTTGGCTTCTGTATCGACATAGAATAATATTTATAATATGAATTCAGTTTGCTGTGAAGAATTAAAAATGTTGCATATGAAGCAAATGCTAAAATCATATTGTTGAAGAAAGGGTCTGGTTTCTTCTTATATAGACTTATGCCCACACATGTCGCTACCTCTTCTACGGATTAATTAGTAAATTTTCTGTTTCATGTCACTGTCTAGAATGAAGCAAAGAAATTATATAGGCGTATCCATTCACAAACGGAACCAACTCAACAAAAGTATCAGCATGATGGTTGTTGTGGACTGTTTGGGCATAAGATTGATCTTCTAGATCAGTATGAAAAGAAGTTGGAAGATTTAGAGGAGAATGTGAGATGGGAACAATCAGATGCCTCATTGGCAGGGCGGGTATGTGCTTGGTTCTTTCCTTAGTTTCTTTTTTTCCAAAATCACAACATGTGTGTATATGCATGAGCAACGTTTTAATATTCTGTACCTGCTGTAGGTTGAGTGACATGCAACAGCGTGTAAGTGGAAAAATGCATGAACACACTATTTCTGAAATTCAGCACCCATATTCTATTGAAGGTTGTCTGTGATTGTTTATAGTGTTGTCGCTGTACATAAAATTGTGATTGTAATTTGATCACGGCTCAGCATACGTGAAATATTGTGATTTTAATGGTAGCTGGACACGTGACATGTGTTTAGTAATGCAGACTCCTATACAACATCGGCTCCTTGGGGGATTGTCAATGTCCAAATTCAATATAATAAGAATATGTAATTTCAGTTTGCCTGTAATGTTATCCACTTGTTATCACAAAAATCTGGTATGGGACCTATGTATTGTTATGTTCTGATACACTCTTTTTTCAGAAATTAGATGTAGGCTATTGCAGATTGTGTGAAAGTTAGGGGTGTGTGTGCAAGTGGCTTTTTTGGAACTGTCTTCATTATGAAATTCCCAGTATCTCATATTTTCGTCAATGTTTTTACTGATTTATTTCCAACCCACATGTAAGGCAACACAATATGGTAGATTGCAAGAGCTCAAAAAATTGATACCTGCGAATTTATATTGTAGAGGTTCACAGGGCCTATGCTAGATGTATTCTCTACTTCTGAACCTAGTGATTTAGTGAACTCTTTTATGAAGCTAAATCATGTTCCTGAGTAGGGATCAGTTTGTCTCGTGCAAGGGATGGAGTCTAATTCTAAAATATTGCATAATGTTGCTGTACACTGGAAATCTTAGATATATAATTAGTTAATTACAAATTGTACCTTTGCACAATTATACTGATTTTTGGCTGGTAAACTTTTTTTTTTGCTCATTCGTACTCTTTGTGTGTTGTTTTGGCCTATGCTTTAACCTTCATATATCATCGTAACAGTGTCATTCTTTTTTGTGTTATTTCAATTTGATCGACAGTTTTTGAGGATTGAGATCGACTTTTTGATTAAGGTAGTCTTTCCATAACAGTATTATCTTACAGAATCTTTTGTGTTTCTTTCTTTCCTTCTATTTTCCTAATATGAAAGGAAGTTCGAGCTGCATTTGTATCTTTCAAGTCTCGGTATGGTGCTGCAGTTGCTCTTAACATACAACAATCAACCAATCCCACACAGTGGGTGACAGAGCAAGCGCCTGAACCACATGATGTTTACTGGCCTTTCTTTTCTTCATCGTTTATGCGGACATGGATTTCGAAACTGGTTATTATATTTGCATGTGTTCTTCTTACAGCTTTATTCCTTCTTCCTGTGTTAGTTGTGCAAGGTCTTACCAATCTGTCACAGCTGGAAGTTTGGTTTCCCTTCCTCACGAGCATTCTGACAATGTAAGCAGCGACTATTTTATATGTTTCGATTCTGGTGTTTATCAACATATATACACAAACATATGTATGTTATTGGATTTGACCAGCTGCCAGTAACATGGAAAACTCAGATCAAAAGCGAGTATTTTGAGAGACTTTTATATTAATTTTAGAGGAGAAAGTTAATCACTTTCTCTTAAGTGGAGTATCCATATGAGTATCATTACTGGGAAATATACGTTTCCTGTTGATGTAGGTAGTATAGTTAAGATGCCTTAGGGAAAGCGACAATTGTCCAGTTTCTAAGAGGGGAAAAAGACAATTGTCCAGAGTGAAAATAAGGTCAGAGTGTCAAATAGTCAGTACTTGGTTATTTTTTCTAGGAAGAGATAACCCAATAAAACCATATCAAACCCGTAAGGATTAAGGTTAAGACACAAAAACTAGGCTCTTGCTAATGCTAAATCCCTACTTACAATGTCCGGCCTTCCTGTTTGGTTGGTGAGATGCGCGACTTTGTCTTGTAAATTATGAAGGGTATAATATGAGGTATTCCGGCTATTTTTCTGTTTTCTAAGTTATTATTTTTCTGATGAGAGTGGGGTTTTCCTTTCATGTTCCAAAATTAACTTGGAACGAAATAGTAAAAAATGTTCATGGTTTAACGGATAGAGCTCAATAGAGAAATAAGATTCATGTAGCTGACCCCAACTAGTTGGGATGAAGCCTTTTTTGAGTTGGGTTGAGTTTTCCTTTCACTCCTTTGAGTACTTGTTAACAATGGATGTTGAATTATAACAAATTAACAAAAAAACTACTGTATTGTTTGGACATAGCCTGACATTTTGATGTATTTATACATGCATGTAGATGAGAACTGCAATTGTGGATATCTCTTGTCTTTAACACTCATTCATGTGACCTGTATTACTGTGTGATCTGTATTTAACTGTTATTTAATTTGTAACCAAACTACCAATAATTTTTTTGTGTGAAAATGAAAGAAAATTGAGTGCTACCATGTTCAGATCTTATTCTTGTTCTCTTCTTGTACTCATATGATGCCTAGCTGTGAATCTAATCTTGCAGAACATTCGTCAGTCAAGTTATTACAGGATACCTTCCTAGTCTTATTCTTCAGATGTCTCTGAAAATGGTACCTCCCATCATGCAATTCTTATCCTCCATTCAAGGATACATCTCTTATAGCCAGATTGTGAGAAGTGCATGCAACAAAGTAATTTGGTTCACAGTATGGAATGTCTATTTTGCCAATGTACTTTCTGGGTCAATTTTCACTCAATTCTCACTCTTCCTTGAGCCCAAGGATATTCCTGCAAGGCTCGCTGTTGCCGTTCCAGCTCAGGTGAGGGTGTTTTTCTATGTGCTAAATGGTGCATTTCTGAAATTTGTAAAATGATGAGAAGACACAAGATTTGATGCTACCAGTGCAGGTGAACAACAATATCTTGTGTTTCCAGAGGTTGTCTTTGAATGAAAAAAAATTAACATCTTAGCTTCCAGTTTGGGTACTTTTTCACTTTATAGGGTAATTTGACTTTTGCTCTCTTGTTAGTTACTCCACGTTCATTCTCTCAACCAATGCTTTTATCTTTTTGTGACTACCTGGTGTTACTTCCTAGAATCATTGAAACATGTAAAAAATGAAGTAATCAGTTGAAAATTTGGCTTCTATTATGCTGGATTAAGAATTTTTCAACAAATGTCAAGAAAGAGTTGACAAATTTTCTCATCCCTTTGGGTGATAAGAAGCTTTTGTGATAGAAATCAAAGAAATGCTGAAACCCGCTACTTACCCTTTTCTATGTAATGTGCAAGACTACTAGATAACACACAAAGGGATACTTGGTGAGTGATGAGGGTGCTTTTGAAAAATCAATTTCCCCCTGTTTTCTGGCTTTTCCTCATCTAGAGCAATTTTTTTTTTCTCTTTCACAAAAGCTATGAATTTGGACTTTTTCTGTGTGTATATCCCATAAGAATATGCACTAGTTTAAATCAGTCTCAATGATATGGCTTTGGTCTTCGGAGTCACAAAATGAATAAACTTTGAATCTTATGCTAAGCTATCCATTTTTCTTCTGGCCGACATTGTAAGCCCTACTTGATTGGAATATCTGTCTATCAATTGGGCAGCAAGTTACTCTTAGGTCTGATTTAGGGTAGGAGTTGACATTGATATGGCTTCACATGAATAAAATGATGAGGTCAGGCCTTAAACTATCCATTGTAGCATACGATTCACGTTTTATAGTTAGGATGCAAGATATGGGTTAGACCTGAAACTTGGGCACTTATATGCCTATACATGTTTTGAAATTGATACTACTCTTTTTGTTGCAAATGAATACCATTGTACAACACATGGTTATGAGAAATCACTAAACCCTTGGCGACCGTGATTTGGTACATTGATCCCAAATGGAGTGGGTTCTCGATCTAGATCACTTAAATGTCCGACCTCGATTTTGTAATACTAATCCCAAATCGACTCGCTTGGGAACATGTATCAGAAATATAAAATAGATTTAATTGACTATGTGTTCGTGGATGTCCTATAACATTCAATATTGTATAGTAGTGAAAGCCATCTAGATAAAGGTTTCAAAATAAATTGCGATCCAAAATTCCGTACCACCTAAACTTACCCCTATTGTACTACCTAAGTAAATTTCGTACCGTGTACCCGTACCCGTACCCGTATTTGTACCACATATCAAATCAACCCACGATCTTGGGAACATTGGTTCAGCATATGCACTGTGTCCAGTTCTCACTGAGTGTGTTAGAGTTCAGTATACAGGGGAATTAGCATCTTTATGCTGTTTTTAATTTTTAATCAATTTTGAGAACGAGTTGATTGAATCCTTTCCAAGCTTTATGGTCCTTATCATCACAATCATCGTTATTGTTGTTGATTGGACTTTAGCCTTGTAGTTTTCTTATAAGGAATTGCAATTTCATCTGGAGAAATCCCTCAAGTCATCTGGATAACTTTTTTAGTTTCCATGATGTAGAAAGATGAAGGGCTGACACCACATTTAACAAGTTCCAGTGAATTTTGAAAGAGTTTCCTTCATGGCAGTCCTATTCCTTATTCGTCCATTTATCTAATCAGGTCAATACCGATGAAGATAAAGCCAAATGTTTGATGTCAATGTTAGAAATTCCAAAAATTGTTAAATGAGTTCACTTCCTACAGTCCTATTCCATAATCATCCATATGGGTAAGCAGGGGGATGTAATTACTCAGGAAGATAGCTACACTGTGCTATGGGTGGAGACAAATCCGAGTGTGTGAAGTTACAAGTTAGTTTTTTGCGCCTTGAATAAAGGCAACCATCAGAGAAGCCATATGATTTTTCTCAACAAGCAGTTTACATTTGTCATTTTTTTTTTTTTGGGGGGTGGGGGGAGGGATGGGAAAAGGGGACTTGAACCCTTGACCTCAAGAAGGCAAAGCCTTTACAAGACAAGGAGTACCATTGAACCAAAAGGCCCATTGGTGTTTACATTTGTCATGACTCGAGATAATTCCTTCCAAATTATGATTCTCATGACCACACTCACTTTTGCTGCAGGCATCCTTCTTTATTGCATATGTTGTCACGTCAGGATGGACAAGTACTTCATCAGAACTCTTCCGCATTATCCCATTTCTTGGCAGTCTAATAAGAAAGCCGTTTGCTAAATGTATGGATGATGAAGTTGAAGTTCCATCTTTTCCATACCACAGAGACATTCCAAGGGTTCTCTTCTTTTGCCTCCTTGGCATAACGTATTTTTTTCTGGCTCCTTTAATTTTGCCCTTTCTATTGGTTTACTCCTGTCTTGGATACATCGTCTACCGCAGCCAGGTTTGTTGAATGCTTTTCAGTTCTTTTTTCTTTTGCTTCTAGAGATTCTCATCTTTAAATCTCATCATTTCAAGACAGGACCTAGTACTGTGTTTGATTCCATCAATATGATTGATGAATAATTTAGGTAAAACAATCAGTTGCTGGGTTTTCTATTTCTACAATAATTCTTAGAAATAAATGCGAGATATCTTATGAGGTAGTTCCATCTATGGAATTGATGCAATATTGACCACCAAACAAGGCAGTTAGGTAGAGGTCCTGATTTTAACTATTAGAAGCCAGTGAAGTTAGATGTTCTATTTTTCTTTTTTCCTTTGAGATAACTGAATAACAGATTGAGGGGCCAAAACCAGCCACCTCATTGTGAGAACCCTCATCATTCTTATATCAGTGCACATCCACTCCTATATAGGCGGATGGCTGAAAAACTACGAATTTCTAATTACCATCTGAATGACAGGGTGTAATAAAATTTTTGACATTGACATTCACATCCCAGGAGCTTTCCTAAAGTTAGATAGTCACCTCATCAGGATTCCGTTTATTTTTACAATATGTCTTCACTTCTCTTTTTCGTGTCATCAAAGACTTTGCTTGCATTAGCATACCCTCATCTAAAGTAATAAAAAAGGGTGAAGTTTTTGGAAAAAATACCAAATAGTCCCTAAAATGCTATTCAATCCGAAAACGTAGTTTCTGATTGTATATGTTAAAATCTTGTACCACATCAACAAAATAATAGCTCCCAAACAAGTGTAAGAGCCTTGTGAGTTTTTCTGAATTATTTTCCCCACTACAACATTTTTTAATCTTTATTTAGCACTTTTACCGTAGTTTCAAATTTATTTACCAGGTTATTGTTTTTTTAAAGCATGTTTTGAAAACACACTTTTAAGGACAAAACTGTGGGTAAAAAACAAGCCTTTCTAAAAAAGTAGATCTCTTTGAAAACGTGTTTGGGAAACACTCCTTCAAGTTGGCACATGTTTTTCTAATTTGATGACTGATCGCCATGCATGCTCTTCTTGTTGATGCCTACCAAAGCTCCTGTGACAGTTTTGCATACATCAGATACAAAATCTTTTCAACAAATACAAGAGATCTGGCAAAGGAGTGAGCTAAACTACTTTTTAAGGGAAGTTTGATCCAACAAGCAACCAAGAANCATACATCAGATACAAAATCTTTTCAACAAATACAAGAGATCTGGAAAAGGAGTGAGCTAAACTACTTTTTAAGGGAAGTTTGATCCAACAAGCAACCAAGAATAACCCATAGCAAGAAACCCAAAAAAACCACCCAAATAAAATCTCACTTCAAAACAGATGGATCAAAAATAAACAAAACAATCAAATACACCAAAGCCACAGACTATCTTAAATCAAGTCAACCAAACATGCTTAAGCCACACAGAAGAGAAGCCTTCCGGTGACTGGAAGGTAAGTCCCAAACTGTTTGTCCTCAAAACGCAAAAAACAGAGCCTCATATGAGGCCACAAGGAAGATCCAAAGAACAAACAGTGAAAAGGAGATGTAGGGGAAGAGAGAGAGAAAGAATACGATCAAAGTCATCAGGAGTGCATGTTATTTTGGGATTGATATTTTTCAGTGGTTATTGTTGCTGTCAGAGAGACTTGTATTAATCACAATTTGAACTAAAGGCATGTTTTCTAAACACGTTTTTAAAAGAATCTGAGTTTGTACAAACTTGTTTTGAACCCATGGTTTCAAAACACTCTTTAAAGGAGAACGGTATTTTAGTCTGTTAGTTTTGAAATCACCGTTTTCTGGTAATAAAGTATAAAACTTGAGTTTTTTCACGCACTACCTATTTTTTTAGGTTGGATGTTTTTAGCATGGTATCAGAGCTAGGTTATAGGAGACTTTTAGGCAGGACTCTATATATTATAGTAATTGATTTTCTCTGTCATAGTGAACTTAATTGTAGATCATATCTTTTGGATTTGCCATCTACCTCCACATGCGAATGGGGGCTGCACATGAGTGGGAGTGCTAGATCTTGTGTCCACATTGATAAAATAATGCATCCCGAATTGAATGGAGGAGCTTTTCGCTGGGGCAGACCAGCTTTAACAGTACTATATATTCTGACGATACAAAATACCTTCTCCGAAAGTTAAAAAGTCAAATGAGGTTGAAAGCATCACTCTGATATAAAGCTTCAGTGCTGTCAGATTTTCTTGCCAGTGAATGTAATCTATTATAGTTTGTGTACTTCCCAAAAGTCTTTTGGATATAGAATATCCCTTTGATCATCAGAATCCCTAGGGTTCGAAAATGGTTTACCATACTATCATATCAGGATTCTTGATCAAGATGAGTCTGAAGTCTTTTGTGTCTCAGTTATAGTCCTTGCTTTCTTACAAACCAGTTGTCCAGGAGTGTCCTACATTGTTCGATGTTCTGCAACTAGTTTACACATAGCTTGTACTGATGCATTGACAACTTGTTATGCAGTTCATCCATGTATATGCACCCATATATGAAACTGGTGGGAAGTTTTGGCCGATGGTACACAATTCAATGATTTTTTCTCTCATACTCATGCATGCCATCGCGGTGGGAATTTTTACACTGAAGAAGCTTCCTGTAGCATCAACCTGGATTTTTCCCCTTCCAATCTTCACGCTTATCTTCAATGAGTACTGCCGGAAGCGCTTTCTGCCTATTTTTACTGCCTTTTCTGCTGAGGTATGTTTACCCTTGATATTGGTGCTACACCTACTAATGCTCCTTATGTATGTGAGCAGGGATAGACACTGTTCATACTGAGTCACAGTTCCAATATTAAAGACTGTCTCCTCCAAAGGAGCAGTGTTTATCATTTCTGCAGAACATAATTGTCAAATCGTGTATCGGAAGACGTATTGTTTTTTAAAAATAGTGTATCGTATCGTGTATCGTAATATGTATATACTTTTATTAAAAAGTCATAGACTCGTAATAACATAGTATTTCATTAATATTCCACCAACTATTCAAGTTTACAACATCGTTTAGTAATATTAAAATGCAAAAACCTCTAATTCAAACTTTTAACATCAACTACTTGAACAATTTTAATATTAATCAGGAATTTTGAATTCAATTGAACAACATTAACATTAGACTTTATTTATTTATTTTAAACTATAACTACTGAAACGACGTTGTTTCACTAGCTAGTGATATAAAAATAAGTTCTAGGGTAAAACGATGCATTTTCAACCCAAAAAAAAAAAAAAACAGAATCGTTCGCATCGTATTGTGTGTCGTACGATACAGTGCAAAAACGATACAGAAACATGATACGTATCGTTTTTCAAGTGTATCGTGACGTATCGTACGATATATATCGCGTATCGTCCGATACTAATAACTATGACCGTAAGAGTTAATACATTGCACTATGGGAACAGTGGTAGTCATTGATACATATTGTAGCATACCTGTTTATGTTTATAGGGGATTGTGGTCCCATTGCTTAGTTAACAGCAATATGATCAGACTGTTAAGCATGACAACATGGAGCACACCCACTTTGTCAAAAAGTTTGGAACTTTTTGTCCGTGCCGAGTTCAATCCTTGTAACATCCCTCACAAGCAGGATCCCTGGGCTATGGCCTTCTACAGTGCACATTTGTCTACTCCACACTCATTCAGCTAGCAGATATCTACAAGACAAAGATTTAGAGTAGAAATACTTGATATGGTCATAGTTTACCAATGACATGAAATAAATTTGGCTATTATTAGTAATCCAATGGTTTGGTTTCCAGGAAGATGGGGGAAGAAAATGTACATTATATGTAATTGGTTGTGTAGGGGTCATTTTAGATATCGAATTCTCCTTTCTCTAATTGAATCATTCTATTTTCGTTGAATTCTTTTGCTGATGATGTTCTGAACTTTTCTCATCAGAGTTTGATAAAGAAGGACAGAGAAGATCAAAACAATGCTGGTATGGCAGAATTTTATAATAAACTGGTCACTGCCTATCAGGACCCAGCTTTGCTGCCAATCCGGTACTCTGCTATTCCTGACAGTCAAAGTGCCCCCCTTCTATCGGCTGCTGAAGTTTGAGGCTCCACACTGGGGACATCTGTAATGATGGAATTTAAAATGCCATGCCACTTGTGCGGTGTGCAGATTGAATTTGATTGGATTCTGTTTCATTTGTCTGCTAAACTGTTCTGGTGTCACTTCACCAATAAGCTGGTGTTCACAACCTTGGGAATGTGCCTACAGCGTCGGTGATCCAGTCATGTGGAACTGTGAAGGTTTCCCCCCCCTTTTACCTGAACTTCACTACATCAGTTCATGGGGTAATGAGGGAAAGGAGGGACTAAAGCTGGAATCTACGGCAGGGACATGATAAAACCTGCCCTTGTCATCATTTTTTTCTTCTTATACCTAGGGTAGACTTTGGCTTCCAAGTTATGAAGTTTCTGCTCTTTATACTATAGCTATTTTGCTGCATTTGTATTAGTTATTGTGATGAACTGTTATTTTTTTTATACAATGAAACTACAAATTTTGATATGTAAGATGCTAAAGTTGCAATCATCCTTATTTTTGAGCTTTCAAGAAGCAAGATGCNATCAAGAAGCAGGATGCCAGAGTTCGAATCTCATCAACGGTGGTGGGGGTTTTAAAGGGTGATATGGTGTCACCGAGAATAAAAATTCGTCGGGAAAACATACCATAATCACTCGTTTCTACTCTCTATATGTTGTTTTGGGAATTTTTTTTTTTTCACGTTGCGATGTGGAGTGTCCACAAAAGACTATGGTGGCACTCCTTCCCTATTTTTGTTCTCATTTTCAACATAAAAACACTTCAATTTGTTGCTTCACCTTGCAAAGGGATTGTGCCCAATTTTAGTAACAAGATCTACTAAAGTAGATTGGTATTGTTCATATAATAAAAGTAGATCTTGGTTCATAGAGTTCCAAGAAGGTAAGAATCCTATTATGTCTGATGCTTCATCGGTCAATATACAAGTGGAACCTGCAGTATGAGCGAGTTATGCGAAAAATCACTTTGTTTTTTTCCAATTTCGAAATAATTTGGGTGGAATAGGGTTCTGCAGGGAAACTTATTACATCTCCCCATCCATACACAACTCTGAACTGAAGATACTCTTACTTCCATTCATGTCAACGACCAAAAATCTCCCTCCAATTATAACCCAGGTCAAAATAATCAAGTGGGTCCCTCTATCTAATTTTTAAATTCATTCGGAACAAAGAAAACAATTATTTTGGAATTACTTAGATACAATAAACCATAGTTTAAGCCTCGTACAAGCTGGTGATGGGTGGTAAATTCAAAGACACAGAGAACAACACAAACAACAGAGATGATCAGAAATATTGTGGGCTGGGGGCCACTTGGTCTCTTTCTTTGGGCCACGTAAAGTAGTTAATTGAGTTATTTGGAAACTGATACAGCTAATTAGATTTATTTGACAAAAAATAAATATAATAAATTATTTTAAAAAAAGTACACAGCTGAGTTACAAATACATAAATACCTATTTTAGGGTCATTTAATTCAAAATCTCTTATCTTTAATGCACTTTGATTTATGTGTGTTTGTTAATATATATAAATACGTATTTAATGCACCTTGATTCATGTGTATTTGTTAATACATGTAAATATGTATATGTGTATATATAATTTGTTGTTAAATCTCTTATTTAAATTTTGAATTATCTTTAATGCACTTTGATTCATGCGTATTTTTTTTTTTTGAAAAGTGATTTTGTTTTCAAATTATATTTAATGCACATTAATTCAAACGTTTTTTTTTTTGGAAAATAGTTTTATTTTTAAATTAATTTAATATCCGAATAATGTAATAGTATAATAATAACAGTGTAACAAATACACTGTAACAAAGACAGTGTAACAAATATACTGTAACAAAAACAGTGTTCAGTAGTTTTATGTATATGGTAACAAATTCAAAATGGAGATGAACTATTTTGAATGAAATTATATGAAATTATATGTTTGATAAAATATAATAGTACAATATTTTGTGTAAATAGATTGTTACACTATTATTGTTATACTGTTACATTGTTAGTGTTACTCTGTTATACTTTTATTGATACACTGTTATACTTTTATTGTTACACTATTACACTATTTGAATATTAAATTAATTTAAAAATAAAACCATTTTCTAAAAAAAAATGCATGAATTAAGATGCATTAAAAGATAATTCAAAATTTAGATAAGATATTTAACAACAAGTATAAATATACGTACATACATAAGTATTTATATATATATAAATATATATAAAAATATGTATTTATATATATATAAAAACGTATATATATACTTGTTTGAATTTCAAAATTTGTATTCATGTGTATATATATGTGTGTGTGTGTGTGTGTGTATTAAAGTTCTCCCATAAAATTAGGAGATGTTTAATGCACCACTTTTCAAAGAAAAATGGTACATTAAATACACATGGATTAATGGAGGGCAAAAATATCACAATAAAAATAGATAAATTCAAATTATGTACTTTGATACAATTAAGTATCAAAATTAAGTACTTAATAACAAACATTTTTTAGTGTGTACTTTTTACCAAATAAGTCTAATTTGGTGTATCCTTACAATTTACCCTAGTTAATTTCATTTGCTTTGCTGCCTCTGAACTCTCACACCATACACTTTCTTCTGTGGTGTTTTCCTACTAAGAATAGGGTGAACAAGTAACTTAATAATAGTATGAAATGAAAAGGAAAATAAATGAATAATGGTACTTGCATTTAATTTATTGATCTAATCTCTTGTCGTTAGATTAACAATATCTTCCGATAACGGATAGAATTCACTCTAATCCAAAATTAATAGGATTTGTTTTTTACAGGGTGTCTAGGACTACACTCTCGAGTTTGGATATTGACGACCGTAGCCCAAATAGATTTAAAACATGTCTCGTGAAGAACAAAGGCGATAGATTCTTATGGGGCATGGGAAGTGTTGATTAAGTCAACAAAAAATGTCCTAATAATATTATTGATAAATAACATAGAGTGAGCTATATTGTGTTTTCGAACCCATGTTTAGCTTCTATGACCGAAAAGATGAGAGGGTGAGACCTCAAAAAGAAGAAAAAAGGTCTTTTGTCCTCTTAATGGATTCGATTCTTGTGTGTGTGGGTTTTTTTTTTTTGGGATGAGAAAAATAAAAATTTATTCAGAATTTAATAATTGATAGCGTATTTTAAAAAACCGGTAAAGTTGTTTCATTATAGCGCAAGTATTATGCGTTTAAATCAAGAAAACGGTTTCTTCACGTACGAAATAAAACATGGTCTCTCAATCTTAATCAACAACGACAAAAGCAAAATGAGGAAAAATAAAGACCCACTTAGAGTTTAATTAGAAATAGCGTGTTTTAAAAAAACGATAAAATTGTTTCATTATAACGCAAGTATTATGCGTTTAAATCAAGAAAATGGTTTCTCCACACACGCAATAAAAACATGGTAAATTTAATCTAACCTTCTCGTATCCTGAAAACATTTTTTGGTGTCTATACTTGCTCTANTGTGACAGATTCTTATGGGGCATGGGAAGTGCTGATTAAGTCAACAAAAAATGTCCCAATAATATTATTGATAAATAACATGGAGTGAGCTATATTGTGTTTTCGAACCCATGTTTAGCTTCTATGACCGAAAAGATGAGAGGGTGAGACCTCAAAAAGGAGAAAAAAGGTCTTTTGTCCTCTTAATGGATTCGATTCTTGTGTGTGTGGGTTTTTTTTTTTGGGATGAGAAAAATAAAAATTTATTCAGAATTTAATAATTGATAGCGTATTTTAAAAAAACGGTAAAGTTGTTTCATTATAGCGCAAGTATTATGCGTTTAAATCAAGAAAACGGTTTCTTCACCGTACGAAATAAAACATGGTATCTCTCAATCTTAATCAACAACGACAAAAGCAAAATGAGGAAAAATAAAGACCCACTTAGAGTTTAATTAGAAATAGCGTGTTTTAAAAAAACGATAAGATTGTTTCATTATAACGCAAGTATTATGCGTTTAAATCAAGAAAATGGTTTCTCCACACGCAATAAAAACATGGTAAATTTAATCTAACCTTCTCGTATCCTGAAAACATTTTTTGGTGTCTATACTTGCTCTACACGAGCAAAGCCTTATATGGCCTCTCTCTTTGATATCGAGGAATCCCTCCTAAACCTCAAATACATGCATTCACTGACAAATCACAAATATGGATTAAGTCAACACCAGCAAGAGTTAAACTTAAAACGTTTGAAATATATGGTTAAAGCTAGAATTACCTACACACCGTTGGGCTACGCGTGCGGATCAACCTGCAGGCCTTTGCTCGTTTAAGTTTTTGCTGATTCTCTTGGATTCTCCTCCCTCCCATGAAAGAAAATCCTCCACATGGTTTAGTCGGATTGCCGAACTCTACAAAGAACAAAGAGGTGAAACAAGTACAAAAGACCCTTTTATCTCTATGGTACTCTAATTTGGCACTTTCTCCTACCTCTTTCTCTAATGAATCCTTCCATATATATATATATATATATACATGCACACACAAGCAATCAAAAACAGTTTTCTACATATATGTGTGTGTGTATTTTATTATATACTTGACCATTCATGCATTATAATTAGGATCAGAAAGGGAAACATTGGTATAGAAGATGGTGAGGAAGAGAAAGGCTAGTGATCAGGGAGAAGAAGAGAGAGAAAAGACTACTGATGGGGATATGCAGTGGGCTCAGATGGTGAATGGTGCTGCAGCAGCAGTAGGTGGAGCCCGATGTGCCCAGAAACACTATGTTGGGGTGCGCCAAAGGCCATCAGGGCGATGGGTGGCCGAGATAAAAGATACAATTCAGAAGATTAGAGTATGGTTGGGCACATTTGACACTGCTGAGGAAGCTGCTAGAGCTTATGATGAGGCTGCTTGCTTGCTTCGTGGTGCCAATACGAGGACAAACTTTTGGCCTTGTTCCCAATCTACTTCTAATTCATCCCCAGCTCTTCCCTCCAAGATCACCAATCTTCTCCTCCAAAGGCTTAAAGCTAGAAACAATGCTTGTTCTTCCCCGGCTGCTTCGTTTCATGATCACCACCAACAAAAGGAAATATCAGATACCCAATTTGATGATTTCTTTAACATGTCCAATGTGACCAACCGCAAAAACATTGGTAATAATACCAGTATAAGTAATTCTAGTTGTATGAGTGCTTGTATGACAGCAAGTGTTGAATCAAGTTTCATTCAAAAGGGAGGTAGTGGTGTGAGAGAATGTGAATTGGACAATAATTGGACTAATGTTGATCAGTTATTGAATTGTTTTGACCATATTGGAGGCGAGGGAGAGCAGAAACGAGAGGGAGAAGAAAAAATGGTTTGGGGATAATGGATTTTCAGTTGGTGGATTCTGTTGGATCTTCTTGTTATGGTTTACAATCATTTCAGATTGCAGAACAGATGACATAGCCAATGCAACAACAGGAACATTATGGAGAACAGCCCTCGATGCTTACAGAGGCGATGAAGAGGATGAAATACGAACGCAATTTTTCTGCTTCACTTTACGCGTTCAATGGGATATCCGAGTGTTTAAGGCTCAATATTGAATCCGGAAACACTGACTTATCCAACCTTGCTATCAGATGCAGAAAAAATCAAGAAGGAAACAAGAAGGAAGATAACGAATGTGTTCAAGGGATATGGCAAGAACAAGTAGAGAGCTTTCGATTCAATTCAACAGAAATTGGGTCATCATCTTCTTCTTCTTCTTCTTCGTCTTCGTTGAGCAAGGAATGCAGTGAATTGTCTCTTTGGAGTTCTCTTGGTCTGCCTCCTATCACTATGTTATTTAGTGGACACAAGGGGCTTGAATTTTGATATTTCTGGATTCTAAAACTTTCTTTAGTCCTTTACAATTTTGTAGCATCCTGCAAATCAGGATGTACTAATCTGCACCAAGCAACAAAAAAGGTGTAATTGTAGTTTTCTCAGTAAAAAGTTTTTTTCTATATGAATACTACTAGTTTTTCAGTTCTAGACTTTCAATATATGTGGATAATCTGTTTAGAAGCAGCCCCTTGTATAGTTAGCATTAGGGCTGTTCACCCGAGTTGACGGGTAGGAAATAGTGTATTCCATCTTCCTAGCTAATGAATTGCGAAAGACCAATTTCTTGGCCGACCACGAGGGTAATGTTCTGAACCGAATTCTGTCCAAAAAATTGGCTCGATAGTCGGGCAGAAATGTGGAATATCTCACATATTTTTAGTTTTTAAGTTATTAATTTTTGGGTCATTTTAACTACTCAATTATCAATTTTTTGGGCTACTTTTACAATTAGGCTATTAAAATATAATATAAGAATGTGTAAATCAACATAATAAACCAAAAACACTAAAGAAAATACAATAAATTTGATAATATGAGTATATAAAAGGATATCGTTTTATACCAAATATATTATTTTATAAAAAAATTAAATATCTGTTCTGGTTGAATAGAAATGCAGATTTTTATGGGTATTTCGCATTCCTACCAATTTCTTCCATTGGCCGATTGAAATTTTGTAGAATTCCAATAATTGGGTGGAAAAGATGCGGAACGGGTCGGGTGGATGGAATTTTGAAGAGTCCTAATTAGAATTCCACACAACTTTAGTTACCTGACCAATGCATAGATACAAACACTAAAAGCTCAATCACTAGCCTACCAGGAGAGAAAAAACTTATGTGGAATTGAACTTTAGATCACTTGCAATTGCCCTTTAGATTCAGAGGAGAAAAAACCTGTTTGGAATTATTTTTCTTCAGAATTATTTGCAGTCCTTGTTGAGAGTAAAAGCACAGGCCCATTCCAGGGTTCACCAAACAAAGGAAAAGAAATGGTAAATTGTTTTGGCATGTATAAATACTCCTTGACATTCAAATAAGGTCCACTCTCTCACAAAGTTTGCTGCCCCCAAACCCTTTTTAAGTCTTCATTTGAATGTTATTATCATTTGACGGTAAAGTTAATAATCGAGCCGAGTTTGTTGAACTCATTTTTTTAAACAAATTTAAAAAATTATTTAAGTTTGGCTCGTTTAGAAAATAAGTCAAGCTGAACCCGAGCCTGAGCCGAACTCGAGTATTTTACATGTAAATGAGCAGAGTTTTGCGAGCTTTTTAAAACACGAGCCTAAAAAATTATTTAAATTTTGCTTGTCTAGAACACGAGTCAAGCTCAAGTCGAGTTCTATACAAACCGAGTCCGAGTAGCTCGACTCAATTTTCAGCCCTAATATTCTGTACTAGTAGAAAGGATTTTGATGCAGAGCAAGCAACGACAGCACAAAATGTAACGATCCTACATTGNGCCCTAATATTCTGTACTAGTAGAAAGGATTTTGATGCAGAGCAAGCAACGACAGCACAAAATGTAACGATCCTACATTGATTAAGTTTCGCCTCAAATGCGTCTATATAAACTCTTGGATATGCTTCTCTTGCAAAACCCATTTTCAGGGGTTCATAGCAAAGAATGTATCCAAATAGTTCTGCAGCCAAGTCTTAAGAAGAGAGGAGGCTTCCATTATAAAGTCTGCTTGGTCTGAAACCCCAATTTGTGAGGTTGATTGATGACAAACTATAAACAGATCACAAAAACCTTTATTCATTACAGAATTATACAATATATGTGCAGACACCACATTTTAGAAGTACCTTGTGGGCTACTCAAGGTGAAATTTGTTCGACTTGACCTGATAATCCTGTGTTGCCATTCTTGATATTTCTGTATAAATGTTACGTTTAAATAGTTATGTGTTCTAACCCTCTACAAATTCTGTAGATTTTAGAACAACGGTTGAGTTCAAAATAATTAGTATCAGAGCAGATATCACGTCATGATCCTAAAATATGCTAGTCCATGCNTATGGCATGCAACTACAAATAAAAGTTTTGAATGGTCAATCTGCCTTTGTTCGATGCCATGGTGATTTCTTTTAGATCAGGATGCTACGGGTCGCGTTGGGTTTACCTGACCCAGCTGGTCAATGGCCCATGGTGGGTAACGGGCTAGATAGTCAAATAGTTGAGCTTATTCTTCTATTCCCATCAAGCACCTCGAGAAGTGAGTGAGCTTTTTGAAGTAGGGGAATCTAGATGGTGCACGCTCTTGGTGTTCCAACTAGTCATTAATGGTCAGCATNGGGCGTTGCCCCCGAACCCCCACGAGGCTTGTCCATGAGCGCTACGGCTTGGGCCTTCGCTCCATGGACTAAGCCTCAAAAAAATTTCCATTAAAAACCACACAACATTATTTCGGGTCCGGTCATCATCCGGATCACATATACAAAACTAGACTCCATAAAAAAAAACCAACACATGCCAATATTAATACAGGTTCCATGCTGGTTTGTGAAATCCCTCGATCCAGTGGAAGCTTTATGATTTGCTAAGAATATTCAAATCCCAGGCAATGATCAAAATTCTGTGTTGGTGCATTGTTTCAGTCATTTAAAAAACGAAAATGTTTTAAAAATATTTCATAAATATTTCGGAAAATAGAGTAAAAATGGATAAAAAAATTCAGATACTCATTTTCAAACCATGTTGAAATATTGGTTGAAATATATATAAACATCTCGAAATATCCTGCAACATTATGAAATATTGGTGCAAACATGTTGAAACACCTTAAATATTGGAATTTCGATTCAATTACTAATTCGTTTTTGATTTTTTTTTTTAAAACGAAATGTTTTAATCATTTCAAAACAAAATTTTAATCCTTCACCTTGCTGATGAGTGTGTAGGAATCCCTATTGTTCCAGACAAGACCTTTGTGGTGATGTACCCTTATACCCCAACAACACTAGTATTAGAGAGGGGTGGGGGGGGGAGCATAACTTCATGCTGGTGTTATGGAAGCATAGATATTGCACCTTGCTGCTGAGTGTGTAGGAATCCCCANATAATTAGTATCAGAGCAGATATCACGTCATGATCCTAAAATATGCTAGTCCATGCCAATATTAATACAGGTTCCATGCGGGTTTGTGAAATCCCTCGATCCAGTGGAAGCTTTATGATTTGCTAAGAATATTCAAATCCCAGGCAATGATCAAAATTCCGTGTTGGTGCATTGTTTCAGTCATTTAGAAAACGAAAATGTTTTAAAAATATTTCATAAATATTTCGGAAATAGAGTAAAAATGGATAAAAAAATTCAGATACTCATTTTCAAACCATGTTGAAATATTGGTTGAAATATATATAAACATCTCGAAATATCCTGCAACATTATGAAATATTGGTGCAAACATGTTGAAACACCTTAAATATTGGAATTTCGATTCAATTACTAATTCGTTTTTGATTTTTTTTTTTAAAACGAAATGTTTTAATCATTTCAAAACAAAATTTTAATCCTTCACCTTGCTGATGAGTGTGTAGGAATCCCTATTGTTCCAGACAAGACCTTTGTGGTGATGTACCCTTATACCCCAACAACACTAGTATTAGAGAGGGGTGGGGGGGGAGCATAACTTCATGCTGGTGTTATGGAAGCATAGATATTGCACCTTGCAGCTGAGTGTGTAGGAATTCCCATTGTTCCAGACAAGACCTTTGTGGTGATGTACCCTTATACCCCAACACCACTAGTATAGGAGGAGGGGGGGGGAGCATAACTTCATGCTGGTGTTAAGGAAGCATAGATACTGCATACATGCTTTAGGACAATTCACTCTATGGGCATTTGATTAGTCTAGTAATCCTCAAGTGGCTGTCAATAGATAGATATGGGTGCACTATGGCATGCAACTACAAATAAAAGTTTTGAATGGTCAATCTGCCTTTGTTCGATGCCATGGTGATTTCTTTTAGATCAGGATGCTACGGGTCGCGTTGGGTTTACCTGACCCAACTGGTCAATGGCCCATGGTGGGTAACGGGCTAGATAGTCAAATAGTTGAGTTTATTCTTCTATTCCCATCAAGCACCTCGAGAAGTGAGTAAGCTTTTTGAGGTAGGGGAATCTAGATGGTGCACGCTCTTGGTGTTCCAACTAGTCATTAATGGTCAGCTTTATTAGTACGGAAAGAAAGAAGTCGGGCCATTATGGCCAATTAAGTAAACTAGTAGAAATTCGCCCACTTTTACATCATACCACAAGGAAAGGAAATTTCAATCCAAATTAACAGGTGAATAGTTCACACAATGAATAGATGAGTAGTATGTGGTTGATTTCATTTAGACCGATACATAATACTAATTTGAGACAGATATAGAGAGAAAGTGTGAATTAACGAGCCAATTAAGGGTGTCCATGTGCCAGGCCGGATCAGATTCCTTATTTTTTTTTGGGTCGGGCTGAATTTGGGTAGTAGTAGGCCTGCTCATAGCCCAATCCGCCACTCATTGGGTGGGCCCATTGGATTTGCTAGGCGGGCCTACTAGGCAGACTTTTTTGATATATACAATTTTATTTAAAAAAAAATTAACTTAATATTTTTGTAAATTACANCGAGCCAATTAAGGGTGTCCATGTGCCAGGCCGGATCAGATTCCTTATTTTTTTTTTGGGTCGGGCTGAATTTGGGTAGTAGTAGGCCTGCTTACAGCCCAATCCGCCACTCATTGGGTGGGCCCATTGGATTTGCTAGGCAGGCTTTTTTGATATATATAATTTTATTTAAAAAAATTTTACCTTAATATTTTTGTAAATTATATTTTTTTCAATAAAAAGTACAGTAAAAATAGACAAAAAATAAATAATAAATAATTTTATTTATGAATAAGGGTGAAATTACATCATAATAGAATGAGCTAATCTCAATTAATTTAACAACTACCTATTTATCATTTGCACAACTCTACCATTTAAAATTTGAAAGT